TGGGTGCGACACTGAGGGTTGCGATCCCGTTGCCAGTCCCGGTCCGGTGTGGGTGCGACACTGAGGGTTGCGATCCCGTTGCCAGTCCCGGTCCGGCACAGGCATGACACTGAGGGTTGCGATCCATTGCCGGACACGAAAAAAAGACAAAAAAGGAAAAAAAAAAAAAAAGAAAAACAAATGACTTCTCAACCAATGTTGTTATCACTGTACTTTTGTGTGAGATTGACAGTTGACAGAGAATTGACACAGGTGTTAGGGAAAACCCTAGGATGCTTATTTCTGACACAGAAATATCAAAAAGGAGTATTAATGCAGCTCAATGTAAGAAGAAACATTAAAGTCATAATGTGTGAAATTGCACAGTACTGAATTCTCTTTAAATGTTGAGGTAAATTCAGGAACTTAGTTCCATCAGCATGTCCCAATGGACAAAGCATGGGGTAAGCAGTCCATATGAAAGGAGACTCACAAACATAAGATGTTTTCCTTACCCTTCTGTGAAACTTTGGTGGTAAGGTTAAGGCAACAATGTGCTCCCAGTGGGCCTACTAATAAAAATACTTTAATCAGCAGTGAACTTCTTTAAAGAAACTTGTAAAGAAAGAAATGAACACATATAGAGCTCTATACTAAACTGGAACTGCAGCCCTAGATTAATAATTTCAGTTGATTTAATTCATTGCTGCTCTTATTGGAAACATTTTAATTTAGGCAAAATCTATTTAGATGATTTATTGCACAGCTACACAAGTAACTGTTCTGGGCCAGAAATTAAATATTCACTATGTATGGCATCTTCCTCCCATCACATTCAACCCATCTTTTATCTAAGCTGAATATTTTTGTTGAATATTTCCTTAGATAAATTGAACCATGGTGTTATGTATTTCAAACTATAATGTTATAAGCATGATTTTTTCTGTCTACTTCTATCTCATTTACTTCTATGATATGTTCAAAAGTCTCCAATCTTCATCTGCAGCCCAGACTGTTCTATTGGGTAGAGACCCATATTTCCAAGTGCCTCTAAAACTTCCCTAAAATGCAATCTGCTCATTAGAGAACTGGCTGTCTTTGCTCCAAAATCTTGTCCTCTTAACTTACTCATTCTTACCCCACTTCCAGTCTCTCTCTCCTAAAGAGCTCTCAAATTCATTACTTCCTCTCAGTTTCTATTCCTACCAGCAGCACATGACTCAGACCCTCACTGTTTTTTATATATCCAGTCTCCAATATGTGTGTTCTGCACCCTGTCACCCTACCAAGGTATATTTTTTCTAATTGAGGTAAAATTCATATAACATACAATTAACGTTTTACAGTTCAATGGCATTTAGTACATTTACGGTGTTGTGTACCACCATGTCTGTCTTCTCCAAAAATATTGTAATTGCCCCAAAATAAAACTCCATACTCATTAAACAGTTACTCTCCACTCCCCCAGACCCTTGCAATCACCAGTTTGGTTTTACTTTATAGATTTACCTATTCTGGATATTTCCTATAAATGAATCATACAGTATGTGACGTTTTGTGACTAGCTTCTTTCATTTGGCATGTTTTCAAGGTTCATCCACATTGTAGCATTTACCAGTAGGGTCATTCCTTTTTATGGCTGCATGATATTCTGTTGTATCTATATATCACAATTTGTTTATTCATCCATTTGTTGATGAACACTTGGGTGGATTCTGCCTTTTAGCTTTTGTGAATAATGCTGTAGTGATCATGGGTATACATTTGTTTAACTACATATTTTCAATTCTTCATAGTATATACTTAGGAGATTCCCACCAGCAATGCACAGGATTCCTATTTCTCCACATCCTTGCCAACACTTGTTTTCCATTTTTATAAGTATAACCATCTTATAGTGGGTGTGAAGTATCTCATTGTGGCTTTGATTACATTTCACAAAAGATTAATGATATTGAGCATCTTTCTTTTTTTTAAACATCATACTCTGTGCTTTATTTTTTTAAATTTTAATTTATCAATATGATGTTTGTGTTCCTTTGCCAATTCCTTTTTCCCTCCTCTCTCTTCTCCCTCCCCCCACATCAATATCATATCTGTTCACTTGTCTTAACAAGTTCTTCAGGGGATTGTTGTGATTGTTGTGTCTTCTTCCCCCTACCCCACCATTTATTGGTTTGTGTATTTATTTATTTTTAGCTCCCACAAATAAGTGAGAACATGTGGTATTTCTCTTTCTGTGCCTGGCTTATTTCACTTAATATAATTTTTCTTGATATTTCTCTTTCTGTGCCTGGCTTATTTCATTTAATATAATTTTCTCTAAGTCCATCCATGTTGTTGTGAATGGTAGTATTTCATTCTTTTTTAAAGCAGAGTGGTATTCCATTGTGTAGATATACCACAGTTTCCTTATCCACTCATCTGATGATGAACATTTAGGCTAGACCCAACTCTTGGCTATTGTAAATACTGTTGCAATAAATATGGGAGTACAAGTATCCCTTTGACATGATGATTTCCATTCCTCTGGGTATATACCCAACAGTGGAATTACAGATAGTAGATCTATCTATAATTGTTTGAGAAAACTCCATACCATTTTCCATAAAGGCTGCACCATTTTGCAGTCCCACTAACAGTGTATGTGGGTTCCTTTTTCTTTGTAGCCTTACCAGCATTTATCATTCTCAGTCTTTTGGATATTAGCCATCCTAACTCGAGTGAGATGGTATCTTAAAGTGGTTTTGATTTGTGTTTCCAAATGCTGAGTGATGGTGAGCATTTTTTCATGTGTCTGTTGGCCACTTGTGTATCTTCCTTTGAGAAATGCCTGTTCAGCTCCTTTGCCCATTTTTTTTTAAATTGGGTTACTTGGTTTTTTGCTGTTAAGTTGTTTGAGTTCCTTGTATATTTTGGATATTAATTCTTTGTCAGATGTATATTTTGCAAATATTTTCTCCCACTCTGCTGGTTGTCCTTTCACTCTGTTAATCGTTTCTTTTGCTGTGAGAAGCTTTTTAGTTTGATAAAATCTTGTTTATTTTTCCTCTGGTTGCCTGTGCTTTTGGGGTCATATTCATGAAATCTATACCCACTCCTACTTCCTGGAGTATTTTCCCTATGTTTTAAGGAGTTTTATTGTTTCAGGATGTATATTTAATACTTTTATCCATTTTGAGTTGATTTTGGTATATGATGAGAGGTACTGGTCTAGTTTCATTCTTCTACATATGAATATCCTGTTTTCCTAGCACCATTTGCTGAAGAGGCAGTCTCTTCCCTGGTGTGTAGACTTGACGCTTTTGTCAAAGATCAGATGACTGTAGGTGTATGGGTTGACTTCTGGATTCTCTATTCTATTCTATTGATCTATGAGTCTGTTTTTATGCCAGTACCATGCTGTTTGGGTTATTATAGCTTTGTAGTATAGTTTATAGTCAGGTAGTGTTATACCTCCAGCTTTATTTTATTTTATTTTATTTTTTGCTATGGATTGCTTTGGCTATTTGTGGTCTTTTGTCATTCTATATAAAGGTTAGGATAGTTTTTTCCATTTTCAAGAAAAATGTCATTGGAATTTTGATGGGAATTGCATTGAATCTCTAGATCACTTTTTGAGTAGTATGGACATTTTCACCATGTTAATTCTTCTAATCCAAGAGCATGGGATATCTTTCCATCTTCTTGTGTCCTCTTTAATTTCTCTCAACAGTGGTTTGTAGTTCTCATTGTATAGATTTTTCACATCCTTGGTTTACTTTATTCCTAAGTATTATTATTTTTTTTTTGGTGGCTTTTGTAAATGGGCTAGCTTTCCTGATTTCTGTATGTTCACTGTTGGAGTATAGAAATGCTACTGTCCTTTGTGTGTTGATTTTGTATCCTGCAACTTTGGTGAAGTCATTAATCAACTCTAAGAGTTTTTTGTAGAGGCTTTAGGT